TTATCATTAGAACCTTTTACAAACGTGTGTTTTTTTAAGGAACAACTACCCTCATGTTTTAAAACGACACAAATTGACTAACTTTTATTATTACTGGCGATCAAAAAAAGATATGTAAAATGGTTGCTTATTGCTATGGTATCAAATAAAAATTGGTCAAAATACCAAAAAGAAACTGGGTTTACGCTGTAAAAAAATAAGTAAGAATGATTAAATAATGTAACTTTGCAAAACTATTCTAAAATAGTAAAACTGTGAATGAACTTGATATTTTAGTAATTTTTTTTTTTGTAAAAAAGTAAATAGGGGAAATCAGGGCAACATGGCGAACGTTTTGAAAGCCCTGAGTTATTTCAAAACTATCAGTTGTGAAGCAATAATACTTTCTTGATATGTTTATGTTATTAAAATGATTCATTATCTACTTGAACTTTCAGTTTGCAAATATAACAATCTAAAATAAATATTAAAATAAAAACTTCATGAATTTGTCATCTGGTCACTTGACAAAGGCAAGATGACTTATTATGCAATTTTTGCCTCCAATTTTATAACATTTTAAATACTACCATTAACTCTAACTAAAGTAACACAAAATAAACACACGTCGCATAAAACTACTTCTAAACTAGGTAAATTTGAAGGACACCATCCATTATGTGAAACCAAAAGTGAGGAATTTATTTAGGCGCAAATAGTAAAACAATGTGTATAAATTTGCATTAATAGTATTTAAAAAAACCAATTAGTGTTTTAAAATACAAGATGCAAATTCAGTTTAGTTTTCACCCAAATTTTTGATTTTTTGTTGAAATGTTATATGAAAACTCATCTTGCCCTATTCGCTATGTTGCCTCGCTTTCTCCTACATACTCGATAATAATAAAATATTAAAAAAAAATTGAAAACTCAAAATCTAAAGACTTATTAGAAATTCAACATCATTCATATCATTACTTTTTATTAATTGGTTATACTCTGTTCCATGCAAAACAACAATAATTAAACATTCCTCTTAAATTGCGCGAACTTCATTTAAAAGATATAATAATTAAAAACCAACTAAGTATAAAATTTTAAGGAATTTGCGCAGTCGATAATTTATTCTGGCTTCCCTATATAAATTATCTGCAGTCAATAACTGTCAAAAAGTACCAAAACTATTGGCGTAATGTATTGAGTTCGACCATATGTCGATATTTTAAGTCTCAAAATATATTATTTTGGGTTGGTTCACTGTTTGAACCAACCCAAAATATTGACTATGCAAACATAAAATGTTTGCATAGTCAATATTTTGGGTTTATTGACTATGCAAATATAAAATGGGGTAGTGCGCAATCAAAAAAATGTCTAAAAATGTATAGGCTACAAAAACACGCTTGACGTATCATATACTTTAAACAAAAACGAGAACATGCAAAACCACTTGTGAAAAATACGAAAATGATGGGTATATTTGAAATAAAATTAATCGGAATCTAACTTTGTATAGATAATACTTTTGCCAGCAAACTTCAACAACAAGTTTGAAATAATTATAAATGAAAAGTGTAATCTAAAATCAAATAGCAAAAACAATGTTGCCCCCGAAATGAACTAAACTCTCAGAATTTTGTATATCTTATCGAGAACATAAAATATGGAATGACTTTTAATAGGAGAATAAATTTACGTTGAAGTCCTAAAATTTATTCAAGTTTTAAACGAAAAAACAGAAACTTTTAAAATTTGACTATAAAAAAAAAATTTCTTTTATCGTGTTCTATTGTTTTTTTTATAGTAAAATTTAATTTGGAAGTTTCGTGCAATTTGAAAACTAAATAATTTAATGCTTTATATTATATCGAAACTAAAAAGTATTAAAAATTGTTTTTTTTTTCTAAGGCATACATTCCATAAATGATGTATGAGATTTCTAACAATTTTTCACCCCTCCCCTTGTCAAACTCTGTTATTTTTCTGGCCAATTTCTCCTCCTTTCCTTATATATGATGTCAGTTTTCGTATCTCTTTCCCCTTCCCTGTTCTTCGTCATTTTTTAAAATTGATTTTTGAGCGATCTATAAATGCAATTAAGAAACGGTTTGAAGCATTAACTAAAGAAGTTATTCACAATTCAAAGATAGTTTTAAAGTTTTTCCTAATTGCTAGAGATGTTTAAAAATATTTAAAATTGTTTTTGCACCGTCATGCGGGTCACTCGTCGTTTAGAAATTTTATAAACCGCCTTACGGGTCACGCGTCACGAATGGGTTAAAAATGGTACAAGGGGCCATCCATAAAGGACGTCACCAATTTTAGCCAATTTTTGACCACCATCCCCCCCCCTTTGTCACAGGTTGACCTTTTTCCCTATACCCCCTTGAAAAAGACGTCATAAAATCCTGAACCCCCCCCCCCTTTTTTTAACTCTAAAAAAATTTATTTTATCTCGCAATGATGTTTGAATCTACTGCTACACCTTTGAAAAATAAAATTAAAAATATTCTCATACATTATCTTCATAAAAACACATGTTTACGTAGTTTTCCATGTTAATTAAACTAAAATAAAATATCTATAAAGTGACGTCCTTTTCTGACAACCTCCCCCCTCCCCTTGTCCTTTTTTTGTCTTTTTTAACTCGACCAGCTCCCCCCTCCCTATTTGGATGACGTCCTTTATGGATGGCCCCCTAAATAAATTGCGAACTGCGAACCGCGAACTTGTAAAATGCAAACTTTTTTGCGAACGATCGTTGTTAATAATGTAATGTTTTATAGCGGAATATTTTAATATATTTTAAGGACTTTTAAGAGAAAAAATTATTTAAAAATAAATAAAAAGAAATTGAGAGAAAATAGAAAAATACAATACAATTTTTTTTTAATTATTTAATAGACTCTCTGCCTAAACCAAACCCTCAGTCGATGTAGCAGCACTCCATTGCGAATCAGGCTATAAGATAGTCGATGTGGCAACACTTCGCGCATGATTTACAGTTAAAAACTAAAAATTTTATTTTAAATAAAGCTTTAAAATAAATAATTAAGAGTTGGAGAGTTTTTTTTATTATTATTTTTATGTTAACAATAATGGTCTTTAAAATATAAGGTTTTGGTTCGCATTTTACCGGTCCGCAGTTTGCGGTTCGCATTTTACCGACAACCTTTAAAAAATGAACAACAGTTGATTTTGTTTACAAGAGTTATTTTTGTTTACTTTGTTCTTTAAAACTTATTTTTGCGTTTAATGTCACGATTTAAACTGCCATTACAGTGGCGGAACTACTGGACGCAGGACCCTGCGTTGCGGGGGAAGGGGGGCCTACCAGCTATAGGGGGCCCTCATATAAATAAAGTTATACTCTCAATAATATTTATACTATAAAACACTTTCCGCAAAAAAAACATTCTTTTGCGGGGGAGGGGGGGGGCAAATTTTGAAGTTCCGCCACTGTGCCATTATAAACGACAATCATGACATGGTTGGTTAACGGCAATTTAATATATCCATACATTAAGCCACATAGTTTGTTTTAATGTTTTTTTATAAGTTTCAAAATTTAAAAAAGATTTTAAAACGTAAATTTTTCTTACATTAAAAACAGAATTTTAAAGATTTTTGAATTAAAATAGTTTTTTATATTTAAATTATAAAAAAGTATTCACTTATTTATATTGTTGTTATTCAACATAACTAAATTTGTTCAAAAAAGTTTTGGTTTTACTGTCACAGTACTTGCTAGCTGCAGTTTTGTTTACAAATGGCCTTAACGTAACATAACCAACATTAATCTCTTTGGCATTGAAAATGTTCGCGTAACTTTTGAAAATCAAAACTTGCGTACTCAAATTATTTTTTGTTTAAAAAACTTTAATTTTTATAACGATCGTTTAATAAAGTTTCATTCGCGGTTTTAGAAACATTTAAACGCGGTGTTTATTAGTCTAAACTTGAAACTGAATTTTTCTAAAAAAGATTAAACGTTTAGTTGGTTTTTATTTAATTCTTTCCAGCTTAAAAAGTAGTTTAATTTATTCCATTGTTTTTTTACTATATTTTCTAAATATTATAGTTTTCGGTAATTAAAATCACGGTTTAAAACTGCTACTTATGGAGAGAGAGAACAAAACTTTTTACAAAAAAATTGAAAACCATTTTAAAAAAAGTATTTTTACTTAAAATATTTGTTTCGATATTTATTAACTTTTTATATAAAAATTTTTGATCGTTTAAGTAAAATTTAAAGTCGGTTTAAAATTAAGTAAAAACGTCAGATGAAATATGAAATTTCGAACTAAAAATCTTCGAAGAAAAATTCTACTTAAACCATCGAATTTTTTTTTTGATGACGACGAATTTTTTTATTTTGTTGATCTCTTCAAGAAACAATGGCGAAAACCTTAAAAAGTTATTTTTTTGTAAACATTAATTTGTGTAAAAGGTGTATAAAAAGTGCAAATCTAATAAAAAAAGTTGTTTTATTCAAAATTCAATCAACTTAAAAACTTATGACTTTATCTTAAATACGATATTATTTGAAAAGAAATTGATAATAAAATAAAAAAATTTAACATTTTATTTTAATTTGCATATTTAGAATTTTTAATTTCATTCTTAAACATCACAAAACATAAAATAATTAATATAAATAAAATATTAAACAAAGATTTATTATTTATTAAAACAAATATTTATTAACAATATTATTTAAAAAATTATGAAAATATAATATTTAAAAAAAACAACAATAAATCATGTAACGTAATTTATAATTTTACAAGTATAATATTATTATTAATAATAATATATATGAAAATTTATATATTATAATAATATATTTAATAATTTATATCATAATTATAACTATTAATATATTTGAAAACGAATTATTTGTAAAATATTTTATTATTAAAAAACTTTTAAATATTAAATCTAATAAACTAGTAAAATTAATTTGTATATTTAAAAACGTATTTATTATAAAATAATACATTAAATATTTCAATAGTTATTTATAGTTATTGTTTTAATTTAATATATTTAAGGTATTAAATATTTTATCGTGTTGTAAAGTTTTTTAATTCATCGAGGTTATAAAAATATTTTCTACGGTACGTGATCCTAAACTTCTTGACATTCGAACAACGAATCCATTCATAAAATTCATTAATAAAATCAATGTCGTCGTGAAGTAAAAGTTTTAATTTTTCACAAAGATTAATCCACGGAAGAAAATTTTCTTCAAAATCTTTTTTTGTTATTAAATAATCTGGAAGCCATATCCACAACTCTTCAATCTTATCTTTCGGTTTCCATCCTTCGATATTAATTGGACGATATAAGGTGACATCGCGAACATTAGTTGAACATTGTATTAAAAGTTTTTTTTCTTCATCACTTAAAATATTTTTATTAACAATTAACAACGATAACTTTCTTCCAGATTTTACGTAATGATTTATGAAATAATTTTCGCAAGAAGTTAAGTAAGAAGTTTTTCCATTGTGAATCGAAATCAACCACCACTTTCGTTTATCAACCATTGATTTAATTTCATCATTAAATGATGATTTACTTTCATAAAAACATTCAATGAATAAATCACGGTCTTTAAAGTCATCACTTTCAGTTAGACGATCTAAAATAAGATTAAATATTAATTATAAAAATGAACAAATAATAAAAATAATAATCAAAACTATAACATTATATACATTATAATATTTTACATATTCATACATATAATTTTTATTAACTAATGATTGAATAAAAAACATACAACTTTTTATTTTTATTAAATAGACTATATTTTATACAATAATATTATATACATAAATTTATACTAAATTAAAATGATATAAAAAAATAATAAAAGTGTGAAACCTTTAGATAAAATAATTCATATGAAAAATAAATATATATAAAAATGTAATATAAAATATAATAAAAAAGACAATTTTTTAATTTTGTTAATTTATCATATTTCTAAAACAAAATAATTTAAATATAAGTTATAAATTAAGCATATTTAAAATAACATAACAAAAATTAGAACGGTTGTTCACACACATAAAAGATTCATTATCATGAGACATTTACACATCAAAATCAACATAATTTCATCATTAAAGCTACAAAATGTAATATATATAATATATAAAAACAAGCAACAAACATAAGATAAACCGATTGAATTTAAAAATTACAATAACATCACATCAAACGACATTTTGTTTTAAAAAGTAAAAATTAAATCCATGAAACAATCATTTCAAGGCAAACAAGAAAATAATTCCTCATTCACATTTGTTTCATGTAAATCATATTTCTCTGAAACTTTGAGCAAAAGAAACAGGTTTTTTCTAAAATATCAAACTTAGACGAACGATTAAAAATAAACGGGTAAAAATGCAATTAAATAATAGCTCAGTATGTTTTAAAATTAGTATGGCATAGGTACTTACATACCATTATCATACTGTACTAGTTTTTTTGCATACAAAAGCATGCCAAATATTTTTTAAAGTAAAAAATTTGTAAATCAATAAATTCTACGCGATGAAAATATATTTTTTGTAGCGTAGAGTTTTTGTGACGAAGGTCTTACCTTATACTTCATAAAAGAATTTTTTTCAAGGTTTATAAATATGCATTTTTTTTTTTGCACCACTAACATTTTGAAGGCAAGTTGATTTATTTTTAAACATATTTTCTAAATCTTAATTTATAATATTCTAAATCTATTTTCGATTTACCTTTCCATAAAAAAAAACTCACTCTTTTAAACTCAATTATCGCATTTCCAAGAGATTAAATATAAAAAAAGTTTGAACATTATAAAAACACGTATTTATTTGCTATATTATATTTAAAAAAATAAGCTTAAAGATAGAAATCAAAATATTATAAAAAATGTTACATAAAATTTAAAGGTTTACACATTTTAGCACCTTAATCTTGTATATTTATAATATAATTTAACTAATATATCAACAATAAAAAAATACTTATTATCATCAAATTTACACGAAAAACAGTCGTCGTAAGTTAAGGTTATATAACAATATAAATTTTGTTTTAAAACATAAACTTTTTTAATAAAAACAAATAAACGAATTTAAAAATGAAGAATACTTACTTACGAATTTTTAAAAGTATTTGTGACCAGTGTGAAGTTTAATAAACAATAGTAACAGAATAATTTCGTACTTTTTCCAAAAAAAACAAAACGTTTGGTTTTATATACATAAAACTCGATGATCGAACTTTATAAAAATCTTTTCACAAATTCGAACAAAAAATTTAAATCAACCGCTTAGTTTTATAGAATTATATCGTAACTATCGCAACCGTTTAAAATGAAAGTATTTGTGAGTTCACAAAAAAAAAAACGTTTAGATCACGTTTTAAGCTTGATAACACGTCGAATAATAAATTATACATTATTTTATACAGAAAATAAACTATTATTTCTATTAAGTATAATGATGTGAAATAAATAAAACGAAAAATAAAAGTAATAAAAAAAAATTTAGTTACTGTTATTTTTTCTGACGTTATAAACGTAATTTAAACTTAGCGTAATCTAAATATAACGTAATAATAAACCTGATGAAAAAACCACAAAAAAAAAAAAAAAAAAAATAGTGAAACGCATGTTTTTTAAACAGAGTTTACAATTTGTAAATTAATATTAGTATACATATTATTATATATTAGTTTGTAAATTAATATCAGTATACATATAAATAAACAATAAACCGAATAAAAATTAAATAATATAACTAATTTTATAAAAAATTTCTCATTATATAAACGTAACAAGACATTTGTCTTGTTATGTTTATATATATAAACTTTATATTATATAAGTATATTATATAAACTTTATATTATGTAATCTTATATTTATATCAGTTATAAACCATATCTTTCACAAAATAACTTTCTTTTGCCTAATTTTATTTTTGCTTAGAGACGTTTTTTTTTTTTTGTTAAACACGTGACAAACAAGAGATTGAGAAAAAAAATTTTTTTGCTTAAAAAGTATAAAAAATTCACTAATTTTAAAATAATAGTATTTTCTATAAAAGCTTTGATCTTCAAAAAAATAATTAAAATTAATTATTTTTTTGAAGATCAAAGCTTTTATAGAAAATTAAAACAATAAAAAAATGGATGTATTTATCCTTGTTCGACGGAGCATATACCACAAGAGCAGATCTTCTTGTTTCATTCTACTTAACTTTTTATTTTGACAACAATCATTCAAAAAACAAACCATCTAGTTAGGTTATCAGTAAAGCTAAATCTTTACTGAAGGCCTTACAATTCTGTTCAAAAGTATGATTTTGTCTTGCATCCTCTATAAACTCAAGTTGGATGAGAATTTATATCCAAATTAATTCATGGTCCATAAATTGCTTCACTAATTGAATTAATAAACTAACCTTATCCAATAAAATAACCTTTTGTCTTAATTGCTAAAAAAAATGAAATTAATAAATTTCAACTATTATACAAATTCATTGAGAATAATTTATCTGAACTATGATGCACTTGTGCTATCTTTTGCAAATGATGGTTTGTGATCAGATTCAAAATTTTATTTAAGACACACAAATTGAGATCTGGTCAAGGCAAACACAAGTTAATTTAAAAACAAAATTTCTTTACAAAGGTATTTATCTCTGCTTGAGGAAAACTACAAATAATAATAGTACTAATAAAAATAATAACTGCTTTTCTTTGAAAAGAATGATAATTTATAAATAATTTCATCAAATTGTTTTTTGGTGCATAAAAAAAAAGCCATAAAACTTGTAGATGAACAAAAAAGCGTTTTAAAAAAACCTAAAGTAAAAGTAAGCTAACTTAAAAACATCTAAAAAAATCTGTGCCTTGTGATTTTAAAATCAGAATAACTAGAAAATAACTTGGAAATTGAGTAATATTTTACACATTAAAAATTATTTATACAATATCAGACATACAATATCATTATTATGACAATATCAGAATAAATATATAGTGAAATTAAATCTATTCTATACTTATTTATAATATATTTTAGTAACATTATATTTGTTAGATCAGTAACCTTGTTTTATTTTTATTTTTTATAACTACTACAATTTAACTTTCTTGTAGCTTAGTAAACTGAAATGGTGAACTCTTAAACTGTGATTAATCTTATCAGTTTTAAATTAAATCTCAAATCAAATTTAGACAAAAGCAGATTTGCTTTTTATTTGAAATTTTTATTTACTTAGGTTTTTGTTTTATTGATTGTTGATATTAATTCCATATACATTATTGTACCAAAGACAATGTAGATTGAAACTGTGATTTAGCTTAAACCTCACCTATTTATGTGAATAGAAATCTAAAATACTATATTTACTATAACAAAATTTAGATGGTGTTAATCTAAATACTAGTAGTCTACTTTGAACTATGCTATTAGATACTGGGATAAAATCTTCTATTTTGCATAATTAAGTTCACCTGGCCACTGTTTTAATTCTAATTTCTACAAGTTTGATTGTAAACTACTTTGACTGTAAACTAGATAACTTAAGAACACCAAAATTAGTTTGTTTTAGCTGCAAAGAAGTAGAAAATAATTAATTTTTTGACCGCCTAATGAAAAGGAATATTTGCTTTAGTTAGTTTTTGGATTAAAGATGAACTATTTAAGTTAAATGTATCCAATCAATTACAAAGGCAAATATATACCATTTTCAAAAGAGTAATTATAGATCTGTCACAAAAGGAATTAAAATCTGGCTTACTTTGTGACATCATTTATCAGATCTGCAAACACATAAGCAAAGAAAATTTAAAAAAGATATTTTTGACCAAGACCTGGCTTATTTCATTTACTAGATAATGAAAGCAGATGCTGAATAAAAGAATATCAAAATTCAGCTTATAAAAAAGGGAAGCAAAACCGCCTACAAAAAGCAAAGAAGATGGACTGACAAACCTAGATTGATTCCAGATTGATTAATTAAATAAAGAAATAATTCCAAACAAAATTCCAAATGGTTTCAAAGATATGATTATTCAAACTTTGTCCTAAATAGTCTAGTTTAAGTTGTTACAAAGAACTGGAGAGGTTTTTCCATAACCAAAAAAAAAAAAACATGGTCAAATTAACTTAAATTTGTAAGTTATAAAACATTTATGAAACATGAACAATTATAAAATGAAAGGCAAAATAAGGTAGTACTTGTAAGTGCTTAATACACAGAAGTTGCTGTTTAATAATTTTTGGAAAATTTTCCTACTCAACCTAAATTTATTAGGACCTCCTCCCCCTATTTATTAATTTTTGCTCAAGGATGTGAAGTTCCAAAAAAGACTGCAGTTTAAAAGACACAAAAAGAGTACTTCTTTCTAGTTTTTAGTATCCAGGAGCTCTAAAAATATAAAAAAGCATATGGTCTTCTAATAAATTAAAATTTAAAAGTTTTTGAACCTTGAATCCTTAGGCATAATGGCAGCAAAGACTCTGTAACTTTAAGCTCAAAAACAATAAGTTTTAATTCATTAAATTTTATGAACTTTTTTCTTTTTTGTGGATCATAAGTCAACCAACATGTTTAAAGCTTCTGGACACCAGAGACCAGGACA